CCAGTGTGGTTATTATAAAGCTTTAGTACATTTATTTGATAATAAAGCAGTTTGGTAGTCATTAGTCTTGTTTAAATATTTGTTCCTCTCTCCTTTTGGACCTCTGGTAGGGCTGCACTTCCCGGCCTGGTGTGTCTGAGTGGGCCTACCTAACTAGTTCTAGCCAAGACATTGGAAATGGAAGTGGGTGTGTCTCTCAATGGAGGAAACTCTAGTTGCCATTGTGAGAGTTTCCAGATCTCTAAGATACTCTTTGGAATTTTCTCTGCTTCTTTTACCTGGTCCTTGAAACACTATGAGAAGACTCCTGTGGTTGACCCAACATATCTGTATACCTGTGAAAAATAGACCTTTTCATTTTAAATCCCTGTGGTTTGAAGTTTGTTTTTCATTCTGGCCTACCTAGCCTATCCTGAATGATACAAGCAAGTTAAAATGCATATATATATATATATATATGTGTGTGTGTGTGTGTGTGTATATATATATATATATATATATATATATATATATATATATATATATATATATATATATATATAATTTTAGGCTCCTATAAAATGATGCTTAACTCCTTTCAAGCCAGACCTGATTCTTTTTGTCTCAATGACATAAATAAAAATTGTAGGGTAAAAAATATAGAGGTTGGTGAAATGGCTTTACCTGGCCTGTCGTCCCAATTATGTATACCTAAAGTGTGTGTGTGTGTGTGTGTGTTTATATTTATTTCAGCCTTTTGCCTGAAGGTGGGAAGTTTAACTGCCTAAACTCTTATGAGCCTTGGAGTGGCATTTCTTGTCCTTTGAGAAGCATAAAAAAATGTAAGGAGATATGTCTCAGCCTCTGCATATTTCCAGACCATCCACTCTAATAATGAAATAGAAGTCCTACAACTTTTGTGGGCCAGAAATTGTTGACCCCACTTTGAATTTTATGAAAATATTTTCATCCATAAAGTTGCATCAGAGAGTCATCCAAAGTGGACCAAAATATATTTTATTAGATCTCAAACAAAGGAACAGATGTCTCCCTGAATATATTATGAAGAAGTACATTCAAAAGTGTGAGACAACAGGGCCTGAACAAAATACTGAAAGAAAAGAAGGGTGTACTCTCACATGAACAAGCAAATACATCATGGGGGGGGGAGTACATAATCTTTTGAATATCTTTTTTTAAGGAATAATCTTTATAATATTAATATCACTTTCCTCATAATGAGAAAAGATTATTAAATGGCCAATGCCAGGGGAACTTCAGATGTTCAAAGAGAATTTTCTAAGAGCTTACATAAAACATAGCCTACATATATGTTGTGAAAATGCAAAGAGAATACAAAGGCAGTACATTTTCCATCTGCATGTATAAATAATGGAAGGTCTCAGACACCCCAATTTCATTAAAAAAGATTTTTTAAAGGATGGGCAAGAATTCATTACAAGAGAAATAGAGGAGGGATTATAATAAAAGGAACTGAAACTATAAAAGCATGAAGTAGGGAAAGGATGTCTTAGAAAAACAGTTAATAGTCTGTTTTGACTAGAGTGTAAGATGAGTGTGGGTTAGCACTGCAAAATAGTAGAATAAACTGTTGAGTTGGTATCTAATTTGGTAGTGAATTTTTAGTTTGTTTTAGTTACCCAAGACCTGTTAAGGATTACAAGTAAGTTCCAAAATGGAGTGTCTAAGGACTCTCAAT